GTTCAGTATAATTCAGTACCTATATGATGCATAAAGGCAGAGCCTTGGAAAACCCTACTTGCAGGTAGACGTTTGAAAAGACATACAAATATTTATATATATGGCAGTTAGCGTCTCCTCGCCCTCCGCCTTTGCCACACTGCTTTCCTGTCCGCCTCACACTCCTTGTCGATAAGCTGCTGGGACGCGCGAGGCTTGTCACTAGCCTCGCGAGGGCTCGAAGCCAATCAACGCTGTCCTCACTCTGATTGGCTGGCGGACGCGGAGGCAACGAAAGGCGCACACACGCACTGGGACACAACACCTCGAAGACGGACACAGACAACAGCTTGCTTGGAGCGCGCTCGCGGCGACCGTCTACAGAGCCCTTGTGTACGCACTTTCTCAGGCAGTAAAGGTTGTATAACTCAAATTGTCTTCCCTGACTTTTGATTGGGAATCTTTATCTTGTCGACCACACCACCTTCGACAATTGGTGACTCCTTACGAACAGCAATCTCCTGTCTTCGTAATCTACGATAAAGCCCGGCGATGATCATGGACAACTTTCCACCGGAATTGCAGCATATTTTGGCACCCGCCTCCGGCATTCTTTCGGTCACGCAACTTACTCAGATGGCTGATTGGCTTATGGAGATGTACGGTTTTTCCAAGCCAGCCATTGCAGCATTCTCAACTCCCTCAACTCCTCCTGCGTCTCCCATTTCACAGTTGGAGATCGAGCTCAGCAAGCTGGCCAATGATATAGCTTCTCTCCAGAAGCAGACAGTATCTCCCTCATCTCGGAGCCAACCGAAGCCGTCCACCACGCATGTCGAGTCTTCACATTCAGCCCGTCCAAACGCAGCTGCCATCTCCTGGTACCGCACCACCTTTTGTGTTAAAGCCCGTCTCTGCATCTGTCCCTGTTCCTTCACCTCCAAGCACAGTAAACGGGTAAAACCGGACAACCCGAAGGCCAGTGCAGCCAATCTTCCCGACAGCTCTAACCCTGGTCGCACCTTCAATGTTTGCGACACTGCGACTCGCCGACGTTTTCTGGTGGACACTGGAGCCCAAATCAGATTTGTTCTCCAACTGCAGCTGATCGTCGTTTCCCTAGCCCTGGTCTTCACCTCCAAGCTACCAACTGTTCACCCATTCCCACTTTTGGCAGTCTGCCCCTCACTCTGAACATTGGCCTTCGTCGGTCATTCACCTGGATCTTTGTGATTGCTGATGTCCCTCATGTAATCCTCGGCTCGGACTTTCTTGCCGAGTTCGATCTCTTTGTTGACTGTCGACTTGCCCGTCTCCTCGACCGCACAACCGGTCTGTTTGTTCATGGATTAACTCCCTTTACTGCCCCCACCAACTTATCTGTCTTGGATACGGATATTGCTAGCCTTTTTCGGCAACCGCTTCTTTGTCACCCCAACATAATTAACCCCCAGTTTCGCAGTGATGAGGTTCAACATGATGTTGTGCACCATATCTGCACCTCAGGTCCTCCCGTGTTTGCTCGGCCGAGACGACTAGCACCGGAGCGTTTTCAAGCCACGAAGGCGGAGTTTGAACACATGCTGCAACTGGGGATAATTCGACCGTCCGAGAGTCCTTGGGCGTCCGCTGCAAATGGTGTCCAAGGCGACATCAGGCGACTGGCGACCCTGTGGCGATTATCGAGCCCTTAACAGTGCTACCATTCCTGATCAGTACCCCGTGCCTCATCTTGAGGACTTTGCTGGAGCCCTTTTCGGCAAAGCGGTTTACTCAAAGATTGATCTGGTGCGTGTTTTTCATCAGATTCCAGTCGCCCCTGAGGACATTCCTAAAACCGCCGTCACCATACCCTTCGGTCTCTTCAAGTTCCTCCGCATGACGTTCGGTCTTCGTAATGACGCCCAAACGTTCCAGAGGTTCATTGACCATGTCTTACGTGGCATACCCTTTGTGTACGCTTACACTGGTGACCTCTTGGTTGCCAGCCCGAATGAGGAAGAACACAAAGAGCACCTTGCCTTGGTGTTTGACCGCCTTGACAAGTTTGGCGTTGTCATCAACCCCTCCAAGTGCGTGCTGGGTGTGCCGTCGCTCGAATACCTCGGCCATTAGGTGGACTCTGAATGTTTGCGTCCCCTCCCTCCAAGGCTGATGCAGTTCGTCATTTCCCTCCACCAACTTCCAAGCGACAGCTGCAGCGATTCCTCGGCATGGTCAATTTTTACCGTCGATTCCTACCGAATTGCGCTGACCTCATGCTGCCGCTCACCAACACGCTTTCTGGTCCCAAAGGTCCCCTCGAGCAGACTAGTAAAGCACTGACTGTTTTTAAGAGAATCAAGAATTCCTTGCCGATGCCACTTTACTCACGCATCCCGCTCCCGAAGCTCAGCTGTCTCTGATGGTAGATGCTTCGACCGTAGTCGTAGGTGCAGTCCTTCAACAACACCTTGCTGATTCGACTCAAACATTTGCCTTGTTCTCCAAAAAGATCATACTATTCGAGACACGCTACAGTTCCTTTGGCCGTGAACTACTTGCCATTTGCCTGGCTGTGAAGCATTTCCGGCATTTCCTTGAAGGTCGTGACCTCACTGTTTTCACAGACCACAACCCCTTGATTTTTGCACTTCGTTCCCACTCCGACAAATACAATCCGAGGGAAATCGCCCACCTGGACGACATCTCCCAATTCACCACCGACATCCGCCACATTGATGACACGAAGAATGAGGTGGCTGATATGCTGTCCAGACCCTCACTGTCTTCCCTCCGACTCTCGCACGGGATCGATCTTTGTGCCATGGCGGCTGAGCAACAGCGAGTCAGTTGTCCCGGCGACGAGTCTGTTAGTGGTCTCCAACTCAAACATGTTCCTCTGACCACCGGCTCTGGTACCATACTTTGTGACGTCCCAACTCCCTTTCATCGCCCTTTCGTGCCCGCCTCTATGAGTCGAGCTGGATTTCAAACTTTGCATGGACTCTCCCACCCTGGGATCCGAGCCTCTCAAAAGCTCCTCGCGGAAAGGTTTGTCTGGCCGGGTATGAAGAAGGACGTCAAAGCTTGGGCTCGGTCGTGTCTGAGCTGCCAGCGCAACAAGGTGCAGCGTCACAACAAGTCCCCACCAGGCACTTTCCCCAGTCCCGACGCACGGTCCATTCATGTGCACCTGGATGTCGTAGGCCCCTTGCATCCATCCAATGGTTTCACCCACCTCCTTACCTGTGTCGATCGATATACCCGCTGGACTGAAGCTATTCCTTTGCCGAATGTTCAGGCTGAAACCATCGTGAAGGCCTTCGTCGGTCGTTGGGTCGCCATGTTCGGTGCCCCATCCACGATTACGACTGATCGTGGTGCCCAGTTTGAATCGGCACTCTTCTAAACGCTACTCAATTTCCTTGGCTGCACACGCGTTCGGACAACGGCCTACCACCCAGCTGCCAACAATATGATCGAGCGTTTCATTGCCAGCTAGAGACCGCCCTGCGTGCCGTAGAAGACCCAGGAAACTGGTCAGACAACCTTCCTCTTGCACTCCTCGGCATCCGCGCAGCTTTGAAGTCGGATCTGGGCTGCAGCGCAGGTGAATTGGTTTTCGGCACTACCCTCCGACTGCCAGGCGAGATTATCACTCCAACCTCTCGTGGGACCGATGAGACTTCTGAAAACCTTGTGTACTGCGTGAGGCAATTTATGCGCCCGCTTTCCCCAGTTCTAGCTCGAACTCCAATGACTGAGTCTTATGTCGAAAAAGATTCGGGCAAGTGTACCCATGTGTTCGGCCGGTGGGACCGTGTGCGCCAGCCGCTGGAATCACCATACGAAACCCGTTCGGTGTGTTCGCGCGCAACGTCAAGACCTGCCGGATTCTTCGCGGTGACCAGGAGGACGTGGTCAGTGTCGATCGGGTCAAGGCTGCTGTTGCAGAGGGAGGAGCCGCCGGACATGTCACTAGAACGAAAATGTGCTGACTCCCTAACCATGTTCCTTCATCTTCCCTATCCCCTGCTCATTCACCCTCCCCACCGCCTCGCTTTTCCCCTCCCTTACGCTCAACCCCTCCGTCCCGTATACCTCCTTTGCTCCCATGTCCGCAACCCACAACTGCAAATACTCCTTCATCAACTGACAACACTGTAACCGCGAGCCATACTCACTCTACCCCTGTGCCCCCTGTATATATCACCCGTAGTGGACGCCATGTGCACTTTCCTGACCGTATGGTTACTCATGTTTTTCACACATCAACAATTCCTTCGGCAACGTTACGCGCCGCAGTCGGTCTAGCCGGGGTCACTGTGGCAGTTCGCGTCTCCTCGCCCTCCGCCTTTTTCACGCTGCTCTCCTGTCCGCCTCACACTCCTTGTCGATAAGCTGCTGGGACGCGCGAGGCTTGTCACTAGCCTCGCGAGGGCTCGAAGCCAATCAACGTTGTCCTCACTCTGATTGGCTGGCGGACGCGGAGGCAACGAAAGGCGCACACACGCGCTGGGACACAACACCTCGAAGACGGACACAGACAACAGCTTGCTTGGAGCGCACTCGCGGCGACTGCCTTACAGTTCGACCATCGACTTCGATGATGTCCACCGTGTTCCCCACAACAGCAGCGGTGGGAGCAGGAACGGTGACTTGCGCAGGGGTTTATAGTGCCGGTAGACTTGCGTAGCATCTACCTACACTCTCTCCTCCTCCCTCGCCCGAGCCCGGTGTCAAGACAGAGTCAAGAAGACCGGAGACGAGGGAGGCCGCAGGCGGATGGCTCGGACAGATCCTCACCTTGGCGTTCCACCACACCCTGGTCCACACAACAAATAACCAGGATGTCAACCAACACAACAGAGATTGGAGGCTGGCGCGGCTGAAGACGCACCTGGGCGTACCGCCGACGCCTGGCTCGGATCCCACACTTTGGGAGTGCCATAAAGGCCACATTAAGAAGGAGCCATTTCAGACTGACTCTCAGACCCCCTCGAGTCCATCAGGAGGTCCAAGTTATCCCTTCAGTTGGAAACCTTTCAAGCCACGGCTTTTAGCGTACCGTGATAGCTTTAAGCGCGTCAGATTGTTTATAGTGAGGAGAAAGTGTGCTGAGTTGTCAACCTCATTCTCCCTTCCCATTCCCACACCCCAGCCGCTGTCCGAGCCGGTCAGAAGACTGGAGTGGGGAATGGGCGCGGTGGCTGACATGGTCGACTGACCATGTCTGCGCGCGCCACAGCACGACCTGGCCCCCCATACACACACAAACACCAGGATTTCACACAACGGGGGTTGAACGGCGTGTCTCTCGCTTGCGTGAGAGGGCCGTGAAAGGTGCTGTTTCAGCTCGTCCCCAGCCCACCAGTCCGCCACTCCACACAACACACACACAGCGGGACGTACAGCGTGGACCGAGTGGAGGCCTCAATCAGCAACCTTCCTATCCACGACGCTTGACGTGTCGGGATAGTCTCGGACTCAAGTCACCCGTGCAGCCGAAGCCGCATGGGGACCGAGTCGAGATGCACACTTCCCACTTGCCTCGATGGTGGCAGTTGGGTGCTTGCGGTGGGTGTGTAAGAGACAAACCCACTAGTTGGGCGCAGCGAGTAGGCTATCCAGGAAACGAAAATAGCAGTATCCCAACAGTTACAGACTAGTAAATAAGAACAAAGTCGTCGGCAGGTAAAAGTGCACGTGCGTGTTCTTTGTCTTATTCAAAACTGTGTTAAAGCGTATTGTAACTGATTAAAACAAAACAGACTTAAATGTCACGACCATACTCCCCCTCCTAGGAGAACGATGTTCAAAAAAAATTATTGTTAATAAAAGGAAAATGTGGGAATTTTATGCATATTGTACAAGTTGGTAACGGTCGGGGAAACGGACATGACGACCACTGCGCGTAAGGGGAGGAGTCTGTGGGATAAGGGAAGACGCAGGGTTATTAGGCGTAAATGGAGTCTGGGAAATAGTAAGTGGCAATGTGCCAAGTGGAGGTTGTTCGGTTGGAGAAGTTGGAAGAGGCTCGGTATAAGCCGCCTTCAAGCGATCGATTGAAACCACGTCGGTGCGGCCTCCACGGTCAATTGTAAAGTGCTTGTCCTTGCGCGATAGTACTCGAAATGGGCCGTCATAGGGCTGTTGTAGTGGCCGGCGAACGCTATCTATGCGGACAAATACAAAAGAACATGTTAGTAAGTTCGGGTCGACGTACGACTTACTTGTTGAAGGACGTGGAGGAGTGGCTGGAAGATGAGTCATGGCTTGGCGCAATCTTTGCACCTAATCGCTGGGATCCAAGTCGGCTGAGCTTTGAGAGTACCCGAAAAAATCACCTGAAATCCGTAGGATAGTAACGTAGGCGAGTTCGGCAGCGGAACACTCCAAGTCGGGCTTAAGTGCGGTACGGATACCGAGCATGACCAAAGGCAGATGCTCGCTCCAATGGGAAGGGTTGTCATGAGCTCGGAGCGAGGCTTTGAGTTGCCGGTGGAAACGCTCGACTAAACCGTTGGATGAGGGGTGGTATGCTGTCGTGCGTATGCGAGAACATCCGAGGAGGTTGGTAAGGCTGTTAAACAGTCTAGACTCGAATTGTTGACCTCGATCGGTGGTAATGGTTGAGGGGACGCCATAATGAGAGATCCAGTGTTCCAAAAAAGCATAAACAACGGAATCTGCAGTTATGTTAGGTATGGGAGTTGCAATGGGCCAACGAGTAAATCGTTCAATCGCAGTAAGTAAGTAGTTGCAACCACGAGATGTTGGAAAGGGACCTACCAGATCGATATGAACATGTGAAAAACGTGCGTCGGGTGCGAGAAAAGTGCCAATGGGGGCTTTGTTGTGCCGTCCGACTTTGGCCTTCTGACAGGCCAAACATGAACGGGTCCACTGGCGTATATCAGTGTTCATGCTTGGCCAAACGAACCGCTCGCTGACGAGGCGCTGGGTAGTGCGGATGCCAGGGTGAGCTAGATTGTGCAACGCGGCAAAGACATCTCGTCTCATCTCGTTTGGCACTACGGGTCGGGAGGCACCGCGCGATACGTCACACAAGATTGTACCGGGGGTGGTGGAAAGAGGAATGACTTCGAGTTGAAGACTAGTGTGTTGAAGGC